AATTGCTTTACTTACATTATCCTTATCTTCATTGCCATATTCAAGTTTCAGCCGTTGCATGCTCTGGCCTCCTTCAGGTGATTGGAATTTCAAACTGAACACTTTATTTTGTGCACCGGGGTAGATTGTTCTCGTTTCACATGCCATGCCTCTTCCGGATGTCTCAGTTATTTCCCTTTAATTCAACTTTCCAAGTTTTGGTTCACCACTGCTGTGGTCTGGTATTGAACTCACAACTCTTTGGGTCTAGTCACTGGATCTAACTGGCTGAAACATTGTGAATATGGCAAACAGAGGATAACAGTCCAAATAATTTAAATAACGCAAGTAATCATAATACCTCATCTCAGAGATATAGAGGCCGAAACGTTGTGAATATGGCAATGAAGATGAGGATAACAGTCCAAATAATGTAAACCATTGAGGTAAATCATAATACCTCATCTCAGAGATATATAGGCCAAAACGTTGTGAATATGGCAATGAAGATGAGGATAACAGTCCAAATAATGTAAATAATGCAGGTAATCATAATACCTCATCTCAGAGATATAGAGGCCGAAACAAATGAATATGGCAATGAAGATGAGGATAACAGTCCAAATAATGTAAATAACTTAGGTAATCATAATACCTCATCTCAGAGATATTTTTTTGATAAAAACGTTGTGAATATGGCAATGAAGATGAGGATAACAGTCCAAATAATGTAAATAATGCAGGTAATCATAATACCTCATCTCAGAGATATAGAAATGAAACGTTGTGAATATGGCAATGAAGATGAGGATAACAGTCCAAATAATGTAAATAACGCAGGTAATCATAATACCTCATCTCAGAGATATAGAGGCCGAAACGTTGTGAATATGGCAATGAAGATGAGGATAACAGTCCAAATAATGTAAATAACGCAGGTAATCATAATACCTCATCTCAGAGATATAGAGGCTGAAACGTTGTGAATATGGCAATGAAGATGAGGATAACAGTCCAAATAATGTAAATAACGCAGGTAATCATAATACCTCATCTCAGAGATATAGAGGCCGAAACGTTGTGAATATGGCAATAAAGATGAGGATAACAGTCCAAATAATGTAAATAACGCAGGTAATCATAATACCTCATCTCAGAGATATAGAGGCCGAAACGTTGTGAATATGGCAATGAAGATGAGGATAACAGTCCAAATAATGTAAATAACACAGGTAATCATAATGCCTCATCTCAGAGATATAGACAGATGTTACAAATTAAATTAAGCACAACTGAATTATTAAAAGATGATAAAATTTTTGCGGATTTTGATATCATTCTGGTTTCTTTTTCATCCAAATTCGTTTTTGATCATGCTAAGTCTTCAAAAACACTAGATAATATTCTCTATTTTTTATCCATAATGTTTAGTGTGTTAAAATTATTCAACTTTTTAGTAAGAAAAATCTCAAGTTGATGTTAAAAGTTTCCACAAAACACTGTTGATTTATTAAAGATGGAATGATCTATATTATGACAAGTCTCAAATTTTTTTTTAGATACATTGTATTTATTTTCAATTTTTCTAGTTGAATTGATTGCCTATATTATCCATTAATAAAATATATTTGTATTTTACATGAATACTACCTTATGAAAATTGAGATGTAGTCAAGTTGGGGGCTCCGTACCATAGATAGAGGTGGACAAGACCCTTTCACCAGGCCTGATTTTACTTATTTCTACTAAACATGGGCAGAAGTGCTTCTAAGATTATCATTATTATTTACATGTTAATCTCATCTGCATTCAAAATGGCATTTTTCAAGGGATAAACAAACAGAAAGAAATTCCTCTTCGAGAACTACTTGTACTGTAAGTAAGAGTCTCTAGTTCGTTGACATTATTATCCATGGGATTGCCAAGAATACTCTTCTATATCTGCAGCAGTTAACATAATGGATTCACAAGTCTTCTTTATTAAATCAAATTCAATGCTGCACTGAAATATTTTTGCCATATTTAACAAAAGACACTGTCTAATTTGATTATGTAAGTCAATGTTTTCATAATAAAATTAGCAGTAACCAACAGACACTGGTAGATTTCTTAGAATAAACTAATAATTTTTATTATAAATATACCATGTTACTTTCAGGTTGTTTTTTATTAGAAATACCTATAATAATAAATAGTGTGTACTGTTGTGGATTAATGTATTATTCCATCTACGACATAGTTCCTTACTAATTGATTGCCTCGATTTTCAACCGGACTGGATGGGCAATTCATTTATTCCGTGCCCTTAACCCATATGCGGGCGGAATATCTTATTTCAACAATGTCGACTGAACCTCTACCAAGACTCTTTCTCCTTTTGAAGCTGCCAACAGGTCGGACCTTTTTCTCCGTTTTCTACCAGAAGACGTTTTAGAGATAGGCGACACTGTCGCGAAAAAAGTTCATTATGCAACTAATCAAAGTTTTTTATCCCTCGACAGGGGCCTAATAAGTATAGGCAGGGATGTCCTACTGAACGAACAAATTGCTAATCACAGGTCAGGACCTTTTTCTCCGTTTTCTACCAGAAGACGTTTTTAGAGAATAAACCGACACTGTCGTGGCAGAAACTTCGTGTTCAACAGGTGACTTAAACTTACCCCTGGCTTCGAACCAAATAATACAGGCAGGGATTATTACCTTTGAACGAAAACATTTTTTTGTTTTCTCTTTGGGCTCTCCGTAAACCATTCTACAAGACCATGCTTCGTCTCTCCCTCGGCTAGAAGTCCAAGCAGGCCAGAACATTTACCAGCGGTCAATTCAATATTTATTTAACATTCTTTATAACTTTGAACCTGTACATTAAAAAATATGCATAATCACTTACAACTTTAAAATATCCACAGTGAGTACTCCTTTCTATCTGTGCGCACATTCTTTTTCCGAACTGTAAAACTTTTTTTTTCCCGCCTTTGGCCATCTTGTATTTCTATTTTGGCGCGGAACACTTTTCATTGAAATAAAATTTGGGATGAGTTACTCGTTACTGTTTAATTAAAGTTTTGTTTATTCATGTTTTATAAACAGATGTCTTTGTCATTTTATTTCGGCTATCTTAATACCATTTATTTATGCACTTGTTGATTGACCCTTTCCTCTCATTGTTCATTTCACATTTTACTTATTTTTACTTTTGCTTGTAGACTCGGTAGTTTAGTGTGGTGTCTGGCACAAGGCCACTTAGTAATAAACCAGCACTGCACGCTGCCGGGTCTGCAACACTGTGAGCGTAACAGTTATGTGTATGTAAAGTGTAATCAACAAGACGAATTCAAATTCCAACCTAGTTAGTAGCATTCACTTTTACACAAATACACTTAGTAAAGGCATAAATCCACTTCTTTAAAATAGCAGTGTAGACTTTCCTTCCTAGCCTTGAGTGACAACCAATCTAAAGGAAGGAAAACTCTCAAATCCAAACTGTGGAGAAAGCAATAAAAAACCACTCCACTATCTTTTCCAACAATTCCAAGACAAGGAATAAATTACCAGAAACTAAATCTTGAAACTCTATATCCTTGATACCAAGAAGGGAAGAGGAATTTTTGAAATGTGAAATTATATTATACAAACCTGAATTTTGTTCATACTGTTTTAATAAATATGTATAATAGCACAATTATTTATACTTATTTGTTATTTCAGATATGCATGGTGTTGCAGAAATACCTCCCACATTTGGTCACCTGTGAGGTGTTAATGAACTTAGACAAGTGACAATGGTGTCTTCATCTAACTAATATCTTACTATTTTGTTTCAAATACCATAGTGGCATGAACCAGTGCACAATGTATGTTTGCAGTTGAAATGTTTTTTTTTTAAGACTGGTGTATCTATAATTGCAACATGGAGAGATTTTTTGTGTTTATTCTATATTATGTAAGAATGATGCTAGCCCAGATAATCGATCACTACTACTATGGGTTAAAAATTTCAGACCACAGGTTCAGTAATTAAAAGAAAGTCACATGTAAGACTTCAAAGCTCTTGAACTCCAGAAAATGTCCAGGCTCTAGAAATTGTCTACAACAGTGTATGATGAATAGAGGCCAACATTTGGAGGATGCCATTTTTAAAACCAAATGAATAAAAATTGTAGCCCTTTATTTGAAATATTTTTAATAGCAGTTACCTTGGTCTTTTTGTCAACCTTTAAAATGTGGGAGGTATTTTTGCCACACACTGTATAAACATTGCTACAGGCCAGAAGGACAAGATAATCTCAAAAGAGAGACAACTTACTGTAAATCTATTATGACAGAAACACAGTTTTATTAGGAAAATTGAAGCAGAGGTCATAGAATAAAAAAGAATTTGAAAACATTGACAAGAACAAGATAAATGACTTTAAGAATGTCACAAAAAAGAAGTTTTAGAAAAACTGAAAGAGTAATAAGCCAGGAAAATTGATTGAATAACAACAAAAATAAATTGAAGAAGTTGTTTTTAATGAATAGCAAACAGAGAAAAGATCCAAAATACTAACATCATTCGCATAAAAGTAAAATAACACCTTTAATAAAATATCACTAAGTGCAGTGAATAAGTTGGATAAGGGAGTAAATGAAAACTGATTTCTCAACCATAATTTTTAATGATGAATGTAGAGCTACATTGGATTGACAGGGTTACTAAGAAAATGAATCCTTCATAAAAATAGTTAACCAACACAATTTAGAAGACACCAAATTGATTGATTTGTTTTCTATGGCTTGTCAACCCTTTTCAGGTTATTTAAAGCCAGAAAATAATTTTTAGATTGTAAGAATTTTGGGGGAAATAATAAGGGTTTAGTCATAAACATCTTACTAATTAACCCATAGCTGGGGAAAAAAAGGTGGATTCATACCTTCCCCAAGAACATTTGCATGTAAGTGAATATAATGAACCTATTGGAATGTGGCTCTCCAGCTAACAATTCCAAGACATTAGCCATTACATCACACACACATCCAAGCTTACAGCACCTGGTATTCCCATGCAGTTCCCCATCTAGATACTGGCCAGGCTCAATGTTGCTTAACATCAGTGACTGCATGGGAACCAGTTTCAACATGATATGGCTGTAAGCCAGAATACACTAGTGGATGGTATACTAATGATTTGGAATAGTACTGAATGTAGTAAAATTGTAGGTCCTTTCAAAGTTGATGACCGTGTCAACATAAATGCAGATGATTATTGTAAGTTCTTGAGCAAGATGCTGTTTTTATTTGTGGAACTTATAAAAACTGGTATCACTAAGATACCAGTTTTTATAAGTTCATTTTCATTCCTGCAAGAAGATCTTTCTTCAAGTCCTGCAAAGCTCATTATTGCCCACCTTGCCAGAAAAAAAGACACTAAATTAATGAAATGGTTACAGGCTTCTGCAGATATTAATCCAATAGAATCCATTAAAAAAGATGTAGATGATAATGCAAAATACCATTCAACCAAGAAGATCCCTGAGGAAACAATAAAAATCACTGCAAATAACGTAACTGTCAAAACAGTAGAAATAATAACGTTAAACACAGACAAAGTTTATGGAATGTCATACAGTGTATATTAACTAGTAAATAAAATACTAATTTATTTATGTATATGGAGAATAACAACAAATATGTTCCTGGGACCTTTATCTTTCAGATTTATTTAAAAATAAAAATTGCTGTTGCACTTAATTCATTTGTATAATGAAGCTTGGCGCCTCCAAAACAAAATCATAAAATTAAATTACAAATGTCAAAGAAGCTAGCAAATATTTGACAGTTATCTCTTCTCTCTTTTAAAATGGATGAACATAAACAAACATCCTTTTGCTTATCAGCATATAATCTCTCTTTCATACAGACAGACAAAACATTGATATAAAAACCAAGCACCAAATAATATTCCGTCATTGTTAGTTACTGTATATACATCTTTGTTGTCTTGATCATTCTTTGAAGTTTGGCTTGATTTGGTTTGTTTTGTCTTATAGCATATCAACCTCAATAGGTTATTTAATGCCGACAAGATTTTTATTGTTGGTATTTTTTTTTTTTATCTATCTATGTCAGCATATATTGGTTTAGTTTGTTTTGTTTTATGGCATATCAACCTCAATGGGTTATTTAATGCCAATAAGATTTTCATTGTTGGTAATATTTTTTTAAAAAAATGTACTGCTGATAATAATTTTTTCAAAAAAGTATTGCTAGTATTAAAACCTATTTTATACTTTCATAGTGTTTTGACCCTTTTTGTGAGGGTTAACTATTTGCCCATAGCTGGGACCCTAACAGGTACTACCACCCTGGGTCAGGGTGGACCTGGGAACACCAGTAATTAAAAGGTGGTTCCACACTTCTCAAAACCTCCTGATCAGAGGCCTTGTTGTTGGATATAGTTTATCGTCTTACCCAGGATGTGGATGTAGTTTATCATCATACCCAGGATGGAGTTTGTTTCAAATTTTGTTTGTCAATTCAAGGTTAATAAAATATCTGTCCTCATCCTAAATGTGAATCTACAACATTTTAAACTCACCTTTACAATTACTTTGAAGCTTTATAAACTTCATACTGTGCTTAAAATTTGGTTGATTTCATGTACAATAATGTCTAAAGTGCTGTGACAAAGATGTTCTTTGCCACCTCAACAATATTGCCATTATCTTGGTTGACTGACTGTTGAAATAATTACGTTTTTGTTCTTCTCTGGTCACACCAAAGTGTAAAGAAATTCTGGTTACAGTAACACCAGTATAAAATGTCTTGACCTTAGTAATCTGCCTCATTCTCTCTCTCTTATTTGTTTACAGTGAGTGCTATTTGCTATTTGCTATTTGCTCTCATTTGAAATGATGCTCTCAAATAATTGGATGTAATGTCAGTGTAATAGCAAAATTACTTCAAAATATACTCAGTGTACTTGCATTATTTTTTTTGAATATTTGTATTTGAATGCCATATCCCGTCAGGACATACACGAGCATGGCTTTCCACAGATTCCATTTCTTTATTATCTGTGAATTGCTGTGACTTCTTACAAGAGATAGTAGAGTGGTCCCATATTGCTTTCTCTATAGTTCTGAATTCACAGTAGTAGCCTTCCTCAAAGTTAGACAGCTGAGTTTACCCTGCTATGAAAATCATAGCTCTAGGAGTGATTGATTGATTTGCTTTTTAAAGTTTATCAACCTTTTGAAAGTTATTTAAAACCAAAAAATATTTTCAGATTGTAAGATTTTTGTGGGGATAATAATGATTTAGTAATAAAAGTCCTTCTAATTAATCCATGGCTGGGGGGCAGAAGCAGTGGATTCATACTTTTCCCAAGAGTATTTGTATATAAGTGTATATGATGAACCCAAGTAGAACTGGAACTTGGCTCTCCCAATACTTGAAAGAGAGAGATAGCTTCATTTTTTTTTTTTTTTGAAGGACATATGTGAAAGTAAACAGACTAAGCAGAAATTTGAACTCTGCTTGCCAATTCTGCATTCAACATCAATAAGCGTTATACAAAATGCATCTTTGTTGTCATTTAATAGAAATGTCATAATTAGTCTGTATATTTTTTGATTTCACATTGACAAATTGTCATGAAAACGCCTAAAGCATTCACGTTATAATACATATGAATTTGTTTTAGATACTTTCCAAATGTGCTTTTATCTTTCAGTGAATAAGAAAATACATATGTGCTCATACATATATCAATGGAATAAGATGAAATAAATGCAGTTTTAAATCAATTCATGCCTAGAAATTAAAGAAGTCTTAAAGACAGATATGCAATGTAATTGGCCCTAATCTGGCATCTCATCTGCAGTCACTCTCTCACAGACGTATCATTGCCTCCTTCTGTCTTTTTTACAAATACTTTCATGGTAACTGCACTGATGAGCTGCTTTCACTGGTTCCCAGACTTCATGAATTTAAGTGTTCTACTAGGCTGGCATCTCGCTCTCACCCTTTCATTGTTGAAACTGTTAAATGTAGCCATCTCTTCTACTCCAATAGCTTCATACCTTATGCATCTCGCCTATGGAACTTTCGGTTGGAATGTCGAACTGAACCCTTTATTTCGCTCATGTGGAACTAGTCTACGCTAGTCAGCGAAATAAAGGGTTCAGGTCGACATTCCAACCACCTGAAGAAGGCCGGAGTGTACAACGACTGAAAAGTTGGAATAAATATGGCGACAAAAATGAGGACAATAGTCCGAATAATGCAAATAGTGTACATTATACCTCATCTCAGAAATATAGACAGATATTCAAATGTAATATCAATCGATGTCTCCAGATGCTTTGATCTATCCCTTATCCTTCTCTTCATCCTTTCCTCTAACACCTATTTGCTCACGCTCTAACCCCTTGTGTGCTTCCTGCCTTGCTTGGGATGAAACGCTTATAAAAAAAAAAGAAAAAAGTTATACCCAGAATTAGAAAATATGAGTTGAAATTTGTGGAATACATAAAGAAGAAATATGTATTTGTGTAGTTTCCTATTTTAAATATTGTTATATAACAGTTTATATGGAATAGATACATGGATTTTCTGCCCACTCACTTCTTGTGTGATAAAACTTGAATATGAACTGAAACGTTACCAGTAGGATGTGATAGGATTAGCAGAGGTGAGATGGACTGGCTTCAGGGAGACAGTCACTGAGGATGGACACAAGATGTGGTACATTGAACATGAGTCGCAACTTGAACATGGAGTAGCCTTCATTTACACAAAGAGCTCATTAGCCATATCCCAAGCTGCACACCAGTATCCAGCCAGATCATTACCATTTGCATGTCAGCCAAACCAATGAACATCACTGTCATTCAAAAAGTGAAAGAGATCTATAAGAAACTAGAAAATATTAACAGGAAGGTTCCAAATAAAAACATCCTCATCATTCAAGGGGACTTCAATGCCAAAGTTGGCCCTGACGCTTATGAGAACTGGGCTGAAACATTTGACCAGTATGATACTGGAACCACCAATGATAGGTTACTTCATCTTTTAGAGTTTGTGAGCAACCAGAGGCTCACCATCACTAACACCCTTTACTTTCACAAACTCTCAAGAACAACAACATAGCATGCCCCCAATGGGAAAACACACAACCAAATTGATTTGATTTGGTCGGCAGAGGAAACAACATTAGCCATGGATTTTTAATGATATCCTTTGACCTCTGTGACTAGAGAATCTTAAGAAGACTAAAAACTCCTGCAGCCCTGAAAGTGTTGCTTAGTACTATGAAACCAACAACCAAGTATACATGCAGATGAGGGTAACCAAGGAATGCTGGATTGACCAGCAGTGTGAAAACATCAAGAAAGAAATGAAAAAAGGAAACAGCTGATAAGCATATGATACATTGAAAAAGCTTAAAAGTCACAGTGGAGCAGATCTAGAGTCATCAAGGATAGCTAAAACCTTCTCATGACAACACTGAAGTTATGAACAGATGGACACAATATTGCCAGGTCAATCCCACACAGCCTGACAACACTTTGACTGATGGAAATTCAACATCGAGGACACATTCACAATGTTGAAAGAATAGGTGGAAGAACCCATATGCAGCTTCCCAGGGAAGTCATCAAGAGCAGACAATATTCCAAGAGGGAATGAATTGGTCACAGTAATAATATCAATCTGCCAGAAAATTTGAGAGAAAAAACAGTGGTCCATACAATAGACTCAATCACTCATCATTCCTATGACCAAAAAACAGAAATTTCCACCAGTGCTAGAACTAGAAGGCCATCAGCCTCATTAATCACACCAGCAAGATCATGCTATATGTCAGTTTAAACAGACTCAAGAAAGAGGTTGTAGAAGATTTAGCAGAAAAACAAGCTGGATTTAGGGCAGGCAGAAACACTATAAAGCAGCTCTTCAATTACCAAATTCTGATGGAGAAACATCTCCAACATCCGAGGGATCTTTTCCATAACTTTATAGATTTCAAGAAGGCCTTTGATAGAATGTGATATGACAGTCTATGGCAGCTCCTGAGGAATTTCAGTATAAACGAGAGCCTCAGCCAAAACATTTAGGTATTGTATAAGACCTCTAGCAGTGTGGTACTC